ATAAGGCCAGATTAAACGTGTATAACATCTAATGGCAAGAAACCTGTTGCGGTCAGCAGCCAGCATGCAACAGTAGTAGTGTCTCAAAACGATAACTTTTCTGCCTCAACAGTTAGTGGAGACATTTGTGCCTCTTCCCCATCATCAGCCAGATGAACGTTTTAAAGCAGTACAGGACTTTGTGCAGGTGGAGTTGTGGAGGGGGCTTGGAGATTTGTAGACAGATAGCTGGAGGCAGTATGTTTTTGGGTTGTCTGTCTGGCCCATCCCGGCGAATGTGAAAGCTCAGGGAAGGCCTTGAAGGAGTTTCTTCACATTTTGCACAAATGGCCACCAGGACTCTTGATGAACGGAATAGATTTTGGTGATCAAAGGTCACAGTGACCTCACATCTGACCCATTGCTGTTAATTTGACTGGTTATCGAAGGCTTAGAACTACAGCGCTGTAATTCCAGTGATCCACTGTTGCAACAAGGTCGTAATGTTTCCACAGTGCAGCAGCCTCCATCATAGGGCCTGTCCGCTTTGTTTTGGCTTCATTTCATCCATTACTGATCACTAGCTCGCAGGCTAATGCAGCGTGTTGGCTACGCTGTCTCTCTTTGAGTGCTTACTTGTAACGCTTGCATCATTGCAGATGACTGAGAGTCAGAGAGTAAAAGGGAGGGAGAATTTACATTTGAAAACAGACCAGCAACAGCTGACCGCTCGTCAGGACCTGTTGGGCCTGGATCAGGTTGTTGGACTCTGCCAGAAACCTCTAAAACCTACTTCTGAATTTTTAACACAAATGAAAGCTATTTCTGCAGCGTGGTGAAGCGGTGGTTAATGCTGTCGCCCTACACCGAGAGGTTTCAGGGTTTGACCCTCGTGGCTGACTTTGTGCGGAGCTCGCATGGTGAGTGTGAGTGTGAATGATTGCCTGTGTGTCAGCCCCATGACAGACAGTGACGTGCGGTGAGGTTGACAGCTAGTGAAGCACTGACTCTTTTACAGTCAGATTTACAAATACAAATGAACCGTTAACAAATTGTCTGTTAACAGACAATGCATTATGTTTTATATCTCATATCAGCATTCTTCACACAAACGTGACCCATATTTAATTTGAGGTTAAAATTTATTCCAATTGAGCTTATTTCTAACTAGAAATAATAAAAGTTTATGGTCTTACCTTTACTTGTACACGAAATCCATTTGTCAGCTGGTATGTATTACAAACCCTTTTACCGTTCGAATCCAATATTAAAACAAATGTTCTCAATAAAGAAGATCCTTCTGGACAAAAATGTCCAGACTGTCAAAAATGTTTTGATTGAAAGTCCAGATTTGC